TTTTGTGTACTCATGAAGGGGTTAGTTTTTTGATGTAAGGAGGGCTATTTCCTTTCTGGTATCAGGGAAGGAGGGAGGGAATGGGTGCAGATGTACATAGGCATGTAAATTTGGTGATGAGAGGCCGAGAAAGTTTCTATTTGATGGCATTTCTGTTTTCTTAATGAAGAAGCAGCAGTCTTCTGAGAGGGGGATTGTACAAGAATGTGTGTTTGAGATTTGATGTGAATAGAAAGATTCATAATTTTATTTGCCCCTACCATGGGTTAACGAGTTGACTACTGACCAGAGAAATACTAATAAATGAGAGATACTATCACTATTAATACACAAGAATTACTTTAAAGATATTTAAGAGAATACTTTCTGTGCTGTTAGAAACTAATGCAGATTGAGATATTCCAGGGCCTGGGGATCCTTTTCTGTTTGAGCCAGTTAATGTTTGAGTCTTTCATAACATTGATGGCCCTTAAAAAATGATGTAGGCGAGTGACCATGTTTGCCCTTTTACAAATAAACATTAACAAAAATATGTACTCAAAGTAAGGGTCCAGTTTCTAAAAGAACTTCCTAAAGTATTCACCGTTATGCTGTCTTACCAGAAAACATAAGGAATAACTTAAATACACTTATTTTGAATTAATAAAGATTAATTCAGGCTGCATGGTGGATTAGTCATAAAATTGTATATTGAAAAAACTTTTTGTTTAAACAGTTGGGAAATATGTAAACATGGACTTCAAGTTATATGCTTAGGGGAGAATAACATAATTTACTTAGTATTTTTTTCTCTTAAGAAAAACTCCCATTAGATTTTTGGTTGTCCCTTGACAAGAATAAGCCTAACTTTTACACTGTTTAATTACCGTGTACTAAAGAGTTGTCTTTATGGAGGGCACCATCTGCTGGTTGTAAGAGGTACCAGTTGTGAAGAAGACTGCCTTCTTCAGTTATCAGATTCTTCACAAAATTTTATGTTTTTCCTTGAATTCCACCTCAAGCCTGGAGTTAAATCCCAGAAGGAAAAACAGCTTTTAATTAATATGGCCAAGTATGGATTCTAGTAGTGATTTGATTTGATTTCTGTGACTGTGAATTTAATGTCACGCTGTGAATTTTTAAGAAAAATCAGCATGAAACTGGCAGATGCCAGTCTTCATTAGTTGATTTGGATGCCTAGATCAACTAAAAAATTGGATTGCTTATTGTTATGCCTGCTCATCAATACTTTGTTTTCCTTTTCCATTCAATGAAAAGATCTTACCTATTTTTTACTGCAGTCTCTTGTTCAGTTGCACCTATGAACATTTATTTATGTCTGATAATACTAAAGAATGAATATTTCATTGATTTTTCTTCCTAATACTCAGTGTGATTAAAAGATACTCCTATATTTCCTTTAATTAATGATTATTTCATTTGAACCTTTTAAAAGCTCTTTAGTATTAGAATTTTTTTTTTCTTTTTTTTTTCTTTCTTTTTTCTTTTTTTTTTTTTTTTTGAGATGGAATCTCACTCTGTCACCCAGGCTGGAGTGCAATGGCAAGATCTCAGCTCACTGCAACCTCCACCTCCCAGGTTCAAGTGATTCTCCTGCCTCAGCCTCCCGAGTAGCTGGGATTACAGGCATGTGCCATATTTAGTAGAGATGGGGTCTCCAGGTGGCCTCCAACTCCTGACCTCAGGTGATCTGCCCTCTTTGACCTCCTAAAGTGCTGGGATTACAGATGTTAGCCACTGTGCCTGGCCTAGTATTAGAATATTTTCTTATGTTTACTGTTCATACTGGACATAAAAATGTAACTATAATACTATGCATATGATAATTTTTAAACTGAACTGTTTTCCGAAAATCCTTGTTTTAAATAACCCTTTGAAAGTAGGGAAATTTGAGGTTATCATGGTTTTACTATAAAATGGTGGTAAATTTAAAATTTGTATTTTTTAAATGGAGAAATTGCTAAATCAGCACATTGTTCATAGCATGTAAAATAGAGTCTGATATAGGTCAGTTTTATGTAACTGTTTTCTAAGTGCAGTTATTTTTCATTTTTTGTTTGCTCTACCATAATAGTGAATATTTGAGATTCCCCAAAGATGAAAGGAACTATTATATGTCAAATCATTTATTTGGCATTCTATTTAAGGAGCAGACCTATTTCTCATTGACTTAATGATTGATTCCTCTTCCTCTACATTGTTCCTTTTCTGCTTCTTTTTTCTTTTCACCTTTTTCTTATCTTGCAATTTGGTATTCATTCCTATCATTCTCTGGACAATTTTTTCTCAAAGATCATCCTGTCAATTTCAAGGGAGTATTTACTGAGGTCATTTTGTATGTTTTCACTGAGGGTAATTGGTATGTATCACCCCTCCATCTTCAAACGCTTTTTGCCACATCACTATATATCACCCCTCCATCTTCAAACAATTTTTTCCCTAGATGTTTGTAACAATTGTCACTTTTCTAAAGATATTTTCTTGACTTTCTTATTTTCTTCTTTATCTCCCGTGTGGGCTTCCACCCCCCCAATCACTATAGATATTTCTTTAAGGTTTGGTGTTGGTGTCTCAGCTCACCCTACTCATTTTCTTTACTTAACCTGTAAACCCATAAAGCATGAGCAATAAATGGTTCTAAAATATTTTCTCATGTTAGACTTTTTTTTTCTAGAACTTTAGATGTACAGTTGCCTTCTAGAGCAAACTTTATTTTTACCAAGACTTGATCTCTCTCTGGGTTTTCCCCCCTCTCCATTACAGTGAGGGCAGAGTTCTTTCTTGTACATTTGCTTATCATTGCATTCCTAGTACTTAGTATATTGCACCAAGTAAATTATCAGTAAATATTTAAATAAATGGTTTTCTAGGAACAAAGATTTTGAATCTTAAAATCATCTTTGCTTCTCTATTATCATTCATACGTCTTTGAATCAGTTTTCTTGTTTGGTAGTCATTGCCTACATTAGTTCCTCATTACTTCTTTCTTGGAATTTTATAGTAGTTTCCTAACTTGTTTTAATTTCTCCTATGTCTAGCCCTACTTTCTGTTGTAACGATAATTTCTTAGAATAGTTCTGTTCATTCATTCATTCATTCATTCATTCAGTATTTCCTGAGTACTTACTACTAATAGTAGCTGTTGTATTTGATAGATGCTAGCATAAATGTTATATGCTACTTTTCTTAAGGAGCTTGTAGCCTAGTGGGAGAGACAAAGATAGAAATAAGTAGAAGAGATACAATGTCATAAATGCTAATTGTAATTAATTCAAAGTATGACTAGCTATAGGGGAGGAGCCTAGCTCCCCCTGGTTGAAGTTAGGGAAAGTTAAAATGAGAAGGAGGTCTGTAGAATTTGCTTAGTAGACAAGGGCCAGTATGTTTTACTCAGAGGAAAATAGCCTGTGTATGTTCACAGTATATTTTACAAGGTCACTCTGTCTACATTATTTAGCTGTGGTCTGTGGCCATATTCATGTATTTGGGATGATGAACAGCTTTTGTCTCTGAGATAAGGCAGAGAGACTTTCTTCCACTCCAGACTTAGTGGAAGAAAAGCCTATCACATTTATCAATCTTTTCCTGGAGTGCTTTGTCCTAGGCATTGGCTGAGTATCTTCTTTAGTTGAAGGAACATAATTATGTACTTGGTTGTTGCTAGATAGTGTTTTTCCTAACCATAAGTCATGCAGCTATTCTCTTATATCATATTCTAAAAGCCTTTAACAATTTACCTCTATATTTAGGTTGTTACTATACCTGGAATTCATTTTGTGTATGGTGTGAAATGTAGGTACAGTGTCCTTTTAAAAAAATATAGATATGAAAATATCTTCAGAACTCTTTATTGTATTCTCTCTGTTCTTTCCTTACTGTCGTCCCTACTACTTTTTTCTTTTTTTTTTTTTTTTTTTTTTTTTTTTTTAGTAGGGGTTTTTGCTCTTGTTACCCAGGCTGGAGTGCAATGGCGCGATCTCGGCTCACCGCAACCTCCGCCTCCTGGGTTCAGGCAATTCTCCTGCCTCAGCCTCCTGAGTAGCTGGGATTACAGGCACGCGCCACCATGCCCAGCTAATTTTTTGTATTTTTAGTAGAGACGGGGTTTCACCGTGTTGACCAGGATGGTCTCGATCTCTTGACCTCGTGATCCACCCGCCTCGGCCTCCCAAAGTGCTGGGATTACAGGCTTGAGCCACCGCGCCCGGCCACTACTTTTTTCATATACAGTTGCGTACCACATAACAACTTTTCTGTCAGTGGTGGACTGTGTATATGATGGTGGTTCCATAAGCTTATAATACTGTCTTTATACTGTACTTTTCTTATGTTTAGAAATATTTAGATACACAAATACCATTGTGTTGTGGTTGCATACAGTATTCAGTACAGTAACATGCTGTACAGGTTTGTAGCCTGGTGCAGTAAGGCAATATACCATATATCCTAGGTTTGTAGTAGTCTATCCCATTTAGGTTTGTGTAAGTACACTCTATTTTGCACAACAATAAAATTCCCCAACAATGTATTTGTCAGAAAGTATCCCATCATTAAGTAATGTATAGCTATGTACAGGAGGAACACAGTAGATTTTTGGATGTTAATATTGTATCCTGCAACCTTGATAAACTAATAGTTTATTTTTTGTAGATTCCTTTGGCATCTTCTGTGTAGACAATCATGTTGTCTGGATCTAGGGACAGTTTCATTTCTTCTTTTCCAGTAATATGCTTTTTTATTTTCTGTTTCTTGCCTTCTTGTGCTGCGTAGGGTTTCTAGCGTTATGTTGAGTAAAAATGCTGGGAGTAGACATCCTTTCTTTGTTTCTGACCTTAAAGGGGGAGCTTTTAATTTTTTACCATTAAGCATTTGTGTTACCTGTTAGTGGTTTATGTTTGTGTGAATGTCCCTGACTTATGATGGTTTGACTTACAATTTTTTTACTTTATGATGATGTGAAAGCAATACACATTTGGTATGCTCCTTGACATATGATGGACATGAACTTTTGACTTAATGATATTTTAAATTTACATTGGGTTTATTGGGACATAACTGTATTGTAAGTTGAGGAGCGTCTATATATTGATGTTTTTACTCTTCATCCTTGCTAAACTCAGTCTTACTAATTCACATGTTTTATCTGTAAATCCTTTTGAAGTTTTTATGTACATAAACATATCTGTGAATAACAACTGGCTCATTTTTAATCCTTATACCCTTTATTTCTTTTTCTTTCCTTCCCTTGTTAATTAGTGTCTTTATTGCAGTGTCAAATTTTTTAAAAAAGTGATGATAGCAGGTATACTCCTGCAGTTCCTGATCACAAATAAAAAGCTTTCAATGGATTGTCAGTAAACATTATGCTATAGGCTACTATATATGCTATAGCACCTACTTTTCTAAGATAAACTAAACTTTCACCCAATTCTTAGTTTACTAAACTTGTTTGTTTCTTTTTTGTTTTACAGTCATGAGTTGTTGAATTTTACCAAATTTTTCTTCATTTATTAAGACTAAAAAAAGTCTGTTTAGTATATAATTTAAATATGATTTTCCTTTTAATCCTGTTGATGTAATGAATTTAACCTTGCCTTCCCAGGATAAACACTTTTAAAAAATATATTGCTGCATTTGGTTTCCTAATATTTTGTTTGGGAGTTTTGCACTTATGAATAAGATTTGTCTGTGATTTATTTTCTCTGATTGTTCTTTTCTTCTTCTTTTCCTTTTTTCAGATACAGACTCTTGTTCTCTTGCCTAGGCTGGAGTGCAGTGGTGCAATCATAGCTCACTTCAGCCTTGAACTCCTTGGCTTAAGTGATCCTGTTGCCTCGGCTTGGCTAATTTTTTATTATTTATTTATTTTGTAGAGGCGAGGTCTCACTTTGTTGTCCAGGCTGGTCTTGAACTCCTGGCTTTAAGCAGTCATCATGCCACAGCCTCCTAAAGTGTTAGGTTCACAGGCTTGAGCCAATTGTGCTTGGCCTCTGACTGTTCTTATTAGGTTTTGGTATCAGAGTTATGCTAATTAGTTGCTTAAAGTTAGTTGGGAAGGATTCCCTTGTTTTTCATTTCTTGGACCTATTTGTATGACAAGGGAAATATTTCTTCCTTTATTTGTTAGGACTTACTAGTAAAGCCATCTAGACTTGGATATTTTTCCTTGTGGAAAGATCTCTTGATAATTGATTTTGTTTCTTAATAGTTTTCTTTTTTCTTTCTTGAGTTAGGTTTGGTAATAAGATATGTAGTTTGTCAGTTTTATCTACATATTCAAATGTTATATTATAAAATTTGTAAGATTGACCTGTGATTTTGACTTTGTTTATCCTACATTTGTTTTCTTTTGAGTCATTGATTATTAAGAAGTGCTTTAAAAAATTTAAATGTCTGGAGCTTTTCTTAACCATTTGGTTTACTTTTTTGTTGAAGTATACTCAGAAAAGTGCAAAAAGTATGTCTTTAGCCCTGAGACTACACAAAGTGAAAATACTTGTGTAACTAGCATCTCAGAAGGATCTTTTCCCCTCTTTCCATTAACATCTGTCCCCTTAAAACATCACTATCCTGACTTTTACCATCTTGGATTAGGTTTCTCTGTTTTTGAGCTTATGAATGTAATCATACTCTCATGTAGTGTTTTGTGTTTGGCTTCTTTCACTTTGGTGTGTGTGTGCATGTGCGTGTGCGTGCATGTGCGTGGTGTGTGTTGAGACAGGGTCCGCACTGTCACTCAGGCTTGAGCGCAGTGATGTGATCATGGCTTACTGTGGCGATGACTTTCTGGGCTTACGCAGTTCTTCCACCTCAACTTCCCAGGTAGCTAGGACCACAGGTGCACACCACCATGCTTGGCTAATTTATTTTTATTTTTTGTAGAGATGAGGTCTCACTGTGTTGCCCAGGCTGGTCTTGAACTCCTGGGCTCAAGTGATCTACCTGCCTTAGCCTTCTCAAATACTGGGATTACAGGTGTGAACCGTCATGCTCATCCTGATGTTTGTAATGTTCATCCATATTATTGTGTGAGGCAATGATTTCTTCACTCTTCATGGCTGTTTTATCCCCCCATTGTATGACTATACTACAAGTTGTCATTCATTTTAGTGTTGATGGACGTTTGTGTTTTCTGTATTGGCAACTGAATGGTATTGTTGTGAACTTTTTTTTTATATGTCATATGGTGGACGAACTATATGTTTCTATTTAGTAAATAGCACAGAATGAGTCCTGGGGCCTATTTATCTTTTTTTTTTTTTTTTTTAACTTGATATTTAGTTTAACTGGTTTTAGTGTTTGCATGGCGTATTCTTTCACCCTTTTACTTTCAGCATATCATATCCACATTTTTCATTGTCTTTTAAGGTCTTTATATTGAAATTTAAAAATCTTGTTCTTTTAACCTGATTGTGTATATTACATACATGTATAGTACTTAGTATGTGCTAAACAGTGTTGTAAGTACTTTAGATATACTTACACCTCTTAATTTTCATTTGGCTAATTTGTCCTTATTTTACTCTGTACTTAAAAATTATACTTCTTGGTTGTGAACTTTAGATTTGCAATTATATTCTTTCCTCACTTTGAAGATAACATTTTGCTGTTTTCTGGCTTATATTGTTGGTGTTGAGAAGTCATCTATTTAAATGCTATTCCTTTTGAGGTACTGTGTGTGCTCTAAGATTTTGTTTGTTTTCTGGAATTATTATTGTCTTAAATTTAATTCTGTTTGGCTTACTGAATTTGTGGATTCGTATTTTATGATATTCTCTGTAGGTATTTGGCTTCTGCTTCAAACTAGTGCTTCTGGTACTCTCATGAATCCCATGTATGAATCCCTCATTCTTCTCCCTCTGTAACTTCCATGAATTGTAGGCTACATTTAAGCCTTTCTATTCTGTATTTCAGTTGTATATTTCTCTGTGTTGCACTCCAGATTTCTTCTGACCTTTCTTTCAGTTCGTTAAATCTATTTTTTTTTTTTTTGAGGCAAGGTGGAGTGGATTGGCGCAATCTCAGCTGACTACAACCTCCGCCTCCAAAGTTCAAGCAATTCTCCTACCACAGCCTCCATAATAGCTGGGACTACAGGGTGTGCCACCATGCCTGGCTGATTTTTATATTTTTTGTAGGGATGAGATTTTGCCATGTTGCCCAGTCTGGTCTTAAACTTCTGGCTCAAGTGATTTGCCTGCTTGGGCCTCCAAAAGTGCGGGGATTACAGGCATAAGCCTTTGCACCTGGCCTTTAATGATTAAACCTTCATGTTTGCAAATACATTCACCTGTTGAATTTTCAGTTTCAGTAATTGTATTTTTTAATTTTTAGAAGCTCTGTTTTTTAAATATATTTTTTAAACTTTTAGTTTATTATTTACATATTTTTTATTTCCTGCAGATATTTTTGGAATTGTCTGTCTGTCTGTCTGTCTGTCTGTCTATCTATCTATCTATCTATCTATCTATCTGTCTGTCTGTCTGTCTGTCTGTCTGTCTGTCTGTCTATCTATCTATTTATTTAGTGAGACAGAGTCTTGCTTTGTCGCCCAGGTTGGAGTTCAGTGGTGTGAACTTGGCCCACTGCAACTTGCGGCTCCCGGATTCAAGTGTTTTTTCCTGCCTCAGCCTCCCAAGTAGCTGGAATTATAGGCGCCTACCACCATGCCCAGCTAATTTTTGTATTTGTAATAGAGACTGGATTTTGCCATGTTGACCAGGCTGGTCTCAAGCTCCTGACCTCAGGTGATCCGCCTGCCTTGGCCTCCCAAAGTGTTGGGATTACAGGCGTGAGCCACACCTGGCCGTCTTTTATTTCTTAAAGATTATAGTAGTTTTGCAATCTTTGCAATCTTAAAGATTATAGTAGTAGTATAACAAAAATTGTGAGTCTGTTTTTGTTGTCTGGTGTTTTTGTTGGTTCTCCCTCATAGTTGCTTGGTTATTTTTGACTTGATACTGCTCATTGTTCTAGAAACATCATAGTGGGGATTCTTTGATACTTAGGATGAAAACACCTTTCTCTAGGCAGGACTTGGATTTACTTACGTTAGGTGCTTGGGGCCATTATTAACTGGGAGTCTCTGAGTTCATGTTTTGAGAGTCTCTGGGCCACTTAGGTCATATGAACCTCAGCAAGTGTGCAGGCCCATGGTCAAAACAAATTACCTGTTCTTTCCCTGTATTCATATTGCCTTTCTCTGTTTAGCACCAAAGCAGTCTTCTCAGCGGTTCCCTGAGTGGGGGGAGGCTGGGAGAAAGAGGTGTTCATTTCTAGTTTACCCTCTCCATTGCAGGTATATTTTCTTTGGGTAGGGTGGTGGTCTACATTAATGCCAGGAGAGTTTCCTATTTGACACTCTGCCTTGACAGATAAAGGTTTACCTCTGTTTCCCTTGCCTTATAAGACCATCAAAACTGAATCCCACATTTGTCAGAATTGACAAATGCTTTCAGAGTATAAGTAGCTATAATGTTCCAGTGTTCCCACTTACTTCCCTGGATTCCCATTTTCTCTTAGGTTCTAGTTTGGGTAGTTTGTGGTGCTTTCAAAACAGATTTATTTTTGATTCTTTTTCTCTAGTATATGTAGTTTTTTTTTTTTTTTTTTAATAGGTTGGAGGGTTAGGGAAAAATAGCATAGCTTGCCACTGAGGAAATAAAAGTAAAAATAAGTTTTGTTTTTCTAAAAATAATTTTGGGAAATGTTCAGTATAGTGATTTTCATTAAATGGTAAAGTAAATTACTATAATTAGGATGTAGTTATAAATTTTGGTTGGTGGGGAAGGTTACCATTCATGTTTGTTAAGAATGCTTATATCTGTTTTTTGGTTTACATTTAATAGTTTTCTTGTTTTAGGGGTAGAAATATTTCTGTCATGGCTCACTCAAAGACTAGGACCAATGATGGAAAAATTACATATCCGCCTGGGGTCAAGGAAATCTCTGATAAAATATCTAAAGAGGAGATGGTGAGACGATTAAAGGTGAGTAAAATTATGTTCTTTTGGACATCTGTGTAAATCTGTGTAAATCATATGGGGCTATAATATATCTTGTTAGGGTAACTTGAAAAAGCAAAGCACAAATGACATAGAAAGGATCTAAGGGAGTAGGGTATATAGGAACAGTGGAGATTATTTGTCTGTGATTAATGGGACAGCAGTTAGAAAGGTAAAGCTTATATTTTCTAGGATCTCCTGTACTTGATTATAAAGAACAAGTCTACAATACTCTTATATTTCTATTTGTCTGTACAAAGTTGTCTCCTTTCTCCTATATATCATTTAGTTTCTAAAGACAACCACTTTAAGGGAGTTTTTATACTGAGTAATCAGGCTGTATACTACTTTCTTGTAAGTTATTTTCAAAGTAGGTCAAAGAGCTTCACTTTTAGCTTCTCCCTCTGACATGTAGTAAGTTCAAGATTGCTGGTGAACTTCTATAGATGAAACTAGGTTGTCTTCATATGTGTGTGAATAATATTTTCACCTTTTCCTTTAGGGTGTTGATGGTCTCTGTAATTGTTTTTTTTTTTTGAGACAGAGTTTCGCTCTTGTTGCCCAGGCTGGAGTGCAATGGCGCGATCTCGGCTCACCGCAACCTCCGCCTCCTGGGTTCAGGCAATTCTTCTGCCTCAGCCTCCTGAGTAGCTGGGACTACAGGCACGCGCCACCGTGCCCAGCTAATTTTTTGTAGTTTTAGTAGAGACGGGGTTTCACCATGTTGACCAGGATGGCCTCGATCTCTTGACCTCGTGATCCACCCGCCTCGGCCTCCCAGAGTGCTGGGATTACAGGCTTGAGCCACCGCGCCCGGCTGTAATTGTTAAAGTGGATAAAGGAGCGTAGTGTCCAAGGAGAATGTTAAGCTGATCAGTTAGTTTAGATGGTCTTCATTTTTGAGCATTTTGTTCCTTTCGAGGTTGTATCTACCTAGATATGTATGTTGCTTGATATATTACTATTTACCTGCATGTCAGGGCTGAAAAACTTACCTAAATTAATCATTGAAGATCCAGGGGTTAAAAACAAATACTCTTTTTTATTGCTACATGGTGTATAGGAATTTTTATAAGGAGAAAAAGATGCTAATACTATCATACATTTCACATAAAGTCTTAATATTGTAATATATATGTTTATTTATACTTAAAGTGTTGGAATGTCAGGTGCCAGATGTTTATTATTCAAAGGAAAATCATCTTTGAGCAGATTAAATTTACTAATAGGTGTATATTTTACCTAGTTGGGAACTTGTGTATATTTTATTAAGAATAGTCAAGCTATAAACCCCTTCTGTATGTGACATGCTTCATTTTTATGTATTTACCTTCTCTTGACCTATTGCATTTTTAGAGAAACTAATACATTTATTACCTTAGATTTGTTTATACTAAGAATAAGTGAACATTCCTGTTGTTTGCTGAGAAACTAATCTTGAACTCAGCCAGTCCCTACACTTACAAACTGGTTAGCATTAGTGTCCTTTAGAGATGTTTTTCCTCAGACATCTTTTCTAATTTGGAGGACTCTTGAGTTATTAATGAGTTTTATAATAGCATTTGAGTTGTATATAGTAGTGAAGAATTCTCGTTTTCTGGACCTTTAACAAACTTTGTGGTTATTGTTGGTGGAATGATTGCCTCAGTACTCATATTTAGTGTTTGTAAATATGCTTTCATTATTTTGTGGACATTTATGTCTGACAGTAATCCAGTTATACTTTTTTCTCATTTATTTTCCTAATTTATACTTCCTATTATTTTTAACATCCTCCTTCTTAGAAAAATATAAAAAAAAATTGTGTGGGATGATATGTACAAGTACCCATGTAAGTTTTATACATTATAACCATTTGTTAACATGTAAGGTGACACTGTTTATAAATTTTTTTTCTTGTGATGTTTTATTCAAAATATGCTTAATCTCTTACTCTTTTGTTAAGAGATCTACAGAAATAAATAGTTCCATGCACATGCACGTAGCTCTTTTTTCCCCTTTGTGGTTTTTCCTAAACACATAGGCAATCAAACCATAAATCTTAAAAGTAATAAAATAAAAAAGTTGTAAGACCTGCACATCATACCCTTATCTAACTGTAGTGCCAGGTCAGAAGGATTAGTCTGCTTTGGTTCTGGTATCTGGCATAATAGAACTGAGAGGTTGCTCTGTGAGGAACAGTGTTTTCCACAGCTGCTCTGAGAATTCAGTATGAAATTGAGCCATTTATTACTCAG